ATGTAATTTTTCTTTCACATATCTATTTTCTAATATTGAATATAGATAAAATTAATGTATTTCCTGTACACTTGACATGCCTTATCGATAATGCTTATCGATAATTCAGATAACGATAATTTCATAAGAACTTCATTCCATAGAATTTGTAGGATCTTTTTATTTGCAGATTGTATTGAGTTAATTCCGAATTTATTTAAAATTCGACACTTTCTGAATGTTAAAAAATTTTCCAAAATTTTTTTATCCATTACGCTTGGATGGCGCATAAACGCGAGGATTTTCAAGTAAGAAAATATTAATAGCTTGACCTGCTTGGAACGCGTCCAATAATAGTAAGTCATTCTATATAACTGCGTTTAGGTCTACATACAAGGATGAGACTCTCATATTGTAAAAATTTTATTATTAAAATTTTGAACATTAAAATGTGTTCAAAAATTAACTATCCAAAATTTTTTAAAATAAAAATATCAAAATTAAAAATTGAATTTGAATTTTATGGAATAGTTTCTTATTTTTATATGTATACGTGTTCTAAACATAATTTTAAAAAATAAAAAAGACTAATTAGTTTAATGTTTCATGACATTATATAATATCCTTAATCCGCTAACAAGCAATTTATTATTAAAAAAAAAACAATTTAAATAATGTATTTTTAAGCGTAAATTCTCGAAAATACAGTAATCGTCTATGCAGTTATTCTTGACTATCTAACATTTTGATAATCGATGTCTAGGATTTCATTTTATCACTACTTCCGGTATTATTATACTATAAATAAAGAATTGATATTATAAGTTTCGTAGCACTCTTTACAAATTTACTAATAACAAACGATTTAATTCGATTCCAAAATTACTTTCATTCGACTGAATCAAGTTCGTATCTTCTATTCTCAATACGAATCTTGCAATTTTCTGAAACAAAGTCGTAGATCAGTATTCAGAGTCCATTCTTATTCAAAAACTTAAGTAAAGTCTTAAATAATGTCTTAAGATGCTAATATGGCTCTTATTGGATCGTGACATTTTAAAATTGTACTTAAGACAGTCTTAAGTATAAAAATCAATTATAAATACTGGCCTTAAAATAGTAGGTTTTTCACATTTGGAATGCAAGGCGTCCATCGCTCCATCAGCTGATAGCTACGCAAGAATGACACGTGAGTGAGTGAAGCAGAGATTTCATTGAGAGTTTCACGTCAGGATTTAACGTGCACTGAAGTTCCTTTTGAAAGAATCGACCATGGTGAGAGTAAGGAACGGGACTCGGAAAAGCCGTACAGGAATAGGGAATCGCACGCGCACGACAAACACTCGGGATACTGCGCGTGAGAGATCGGACACACCCAAGAGCCTGCGTTTCTACGTCCTATGGACATACACTATCGGTATTGATCCACACGCACCGGCTCTCTTCCACAGCAGGGCCCTATCTTCCTTCCTTCCTTCCTTTTATCCCTCGACCGTTCATTGGCCCACCGCTCCAACATGTCATTTTCTATTATTTTCTCTCCTCTTTTTCTCTTTGTTTCTTGACATTATCTTGTAATGTCAAGAAACAAAAAGAATGAAGAAATCTCGATCGTGGGTCAATCCCTATTTCAACTTTCAGAATATTTAGAAAAATTTAGAAAAAAAATCATAAATTCGAAAAAATTTCTAAGTTAAATCACAATTATAGAATCATCTGAAATGTGAAAAATTCTCGAAATTGTCAACAAAAATTACAAACGAGAACTAATGAGAATTATAGCGATAAATAAGTTTTGTTTAAAAATATCAAGTTTATTTCGTAGACATTTCGATTTTTTTTCGGACTATCTTCGACTATATACAGATATGATAAATTCAAATCAACAATCAGGCAAAAATGGTAAATTATCTACTCAGTTATTTAAAATCAGTTAATACTTAGTTAGAAAATCAGTTGACAACAAACAGAGAATCGATATAAAACTTATGTTCTGTAAAACGATAAAATAATAAAATAATACAAATTGCCAACATTAAATTACAATAAGATTCAGGAAAGTAACCCTTTTTGTCAGAGAAGCAGATAATAAAAAATAAAATAACATAATTCCGTTAATCAAGTGATTCAAGAGAATTAACAAATAAAAAAAATTGGTTTGTGTCAAAAATCAAAGTACAAGAGTCAAAAATAAAATAAGTCATACATCAATCACTATATATATAAAGAAACAAAGTTACATAATATGTAGAGTTAGGAAGTAACTAATTTCGTTACTTGTAACGAAATTACAGTTAGAGTTATTTTTTTCACTACCTTAATTTAATTAGTTTTTTTAGTAATTAGTAACTGATTTAATAGTTGCTTTTATAGTTACTTTATATATTAAAAGATTTGTTCGCGTCGCACATGCTCCAACATGCTCCAATATGCTTCTACAAATAGTAAAACGTAAACATATAATGAAACATTTTGAAGCTTTCTATATATGAAATTTCACCAATATGATTCAAGATACAAGATAAGTAAGATTTTGTGAAATTGTCTTGTATATTGTACCATAATATATACATCACAGATGTATGAAAAAATAAGCGGTTAAGATAATGAAAACGTTTATGTACATCTCAATACAAAATATCAATACAAAATATAAATATAGATGACTTGGGACAGTTCACCTGTAACTTGGGACTCAAATCACCAACATTTGCGATATATCAATGTATGCGATATATTATCTTTTATATCAAGATAATAAATACAAATGAAAACTGCCGATATAATTAAGAAAGGTTCCATCAATTAAGCTAAAATTTAATTATTTCGTGATTTAATATAAAATGAAGAATTTTTTTGTAAAATTATATAACATTGCATATATAATTATATAATTTCAAGAGAAATATCATTGCCATAGAATTACTTTTTTTATATTTTTGGAATAAAATTGCATAACATGTAAACGTAAGTTTTTCTTTGATTGTCCTAATGGTATCGAAGTTAGGGAAGGTCCCGTTAATCTACATTCTCGATTACGCACATCATTCACATCAACCGGTTAATTTTGATTATATAACCTATTTTAATGTCGAAAATAAGCGTCGAACGTCAGCATGAAAAAGCATCTTTAGAATTAAAGATTTATTGGATAGAGATCAATGATCATTGACGAACACATACATGAAAAATATATAATAAAAATACAATATATATTTATAGATGAAACGAAGAATAAAAAAAAAGTACAATTATCGACAATTGATTAAATTTGCAATTATTAATAATAAATGTTTGACTAATATATTTTGTTAAATTCCTGATTTTTTATTATATAAATGATCCATAAATAAATATGCATACTTGTAATGCTGTAATATCTTATTATATATTGCCGCAAAATTACAATATTTTTCTCTACAATTATCATCTCCATTGATAATCTAACTCAGACTATACATTAAAATTACAGTTTTAAATAAGAATCGAGTATTATTAAGTTTTAAACATACATATGTATACGAAACCAATAAATTATTAAATTTATAGTACTATGTTATCAGTTTTTTACTCTTAAGCTGGGTTGTTCCAGCTTTCGTAAATTTCAGCTCATTGTCTTACTCTCTTATGCTCTTGCTTTTTTTTACTCTTTTGTTTATCCAGTAGGTAAATTATTATATAATTTAGCCGAAGATGGAACAACCGCACTAATCACTTTAACAAGGTCGCGAACTTCCGAAGGATGTCGGTTTTTAATAGTATCTTGTCGGTGACTATTATAGTAATTAGTACGCCATTTTTTATCCAACTAGAAGATTGGCCAGAACTCTTACTTCTAGGGACACTAGTTTTTAAAATCGATAACTTGTAACGATAACTAATTACTTTTTAAAACAAAAAAGTTGTAACTATAATTATAGTTATTTTTTCCAAAGTAACTTTCCCAATCCTAATCAGAGTTGAGTAATTTAGAACTGCGAATAGTTTCTTGCATATAAAACGTATGTATAATACGTATAAACATATGCTATTGTATGTATAAAAAAAATCATATATATTACATTATGTTTAATACATGTCCTGATCCTAACTAACGCAGTTGAGTATGAAAACAAATTAGAAAATTATAGTCTTATTACCAATTTCTAGCATCGATTCGTAACTACACACATTTGTTTTAAATTTATAAAAATGTTATGTTTTGTACGTATGAAATAAACTTCAGCCGGAAACACATAAAAAAACGTAAGACTTAAGCAATAAGCGAATTGACCAAGCACAATAGAGAATATAAAGCAATAACCTTACATTCTTTACTGTGATTGACTAATTCGCTTACTGCTTACGTGGCGTCTTATTGCCTTACATTTTCGTATGTGCCATGGACTTTAGTCTGGGATAGGGATTACACGGAACAGTAATACTATTCTTTTAGAAATGGACACAGGAATTTTAATACGTACACGAGAAAAAAATTACACGAAAATTTTATATTATGTAAGAGTGTAATGTTGATGTAGTAGTATGTAGCGATCTATATTTCGTAAATCATATGTATTGTAAATTGTACGTATATAAATCGATAAAACAGCGATCTCATCGGAGTTCAATTTTTAAAAAGAAAGCACATTTCCATTAATAAAATAATATTACTTTTATCTTTTTATACATATTTTAATAATGTCTGCTAATGTCTAAAAAAAACGTTATTCATTTCTTAATTTTTAAAATTATTATTCTCAAGAACAGGATTCGTTTTCTAACTTTTTTCGATCGTATTTAGAAATGTCTTTATAGTGACTGATTTTATATAACTCAATGAGTGATTATATAAATGCGAAAATCTATAATGTATCATTTAAAAAAGGAAATGTATGGCAAGTGTTTCGACACTTGCCGTACAAATATAATGGTTGTAGTTTTATAAATCATAAGTACGACAGACTCGACCATTCGAATAATGCTGATTAAGAATTGACTGTAAATGTTTTCATCCCGGACGGATGCTTTTTTGTTTCCAGGGTGCGCGGACAGCGGCGACGCTCCCAAGAAGAAAAGTTTTTTCAAGGGATTCTGGAAGCGATCACGTCACTACTCTCTGGAAAACCAATAGCCCAGGGGTACGAGGATGATAAGCCACCATCATCACCAGTGGTATAGGCAGATGCGACAGCAACAAAGGCAGCGGGGCATTGCAGCTACTACGACCCTCGCAAATAAATCTTGTTGCTGTATCGTCTAGTAACCCCGATTTACATGCGTATATCAACCGCGACCATCTTCTCTTCAACCCGATGTCCATTTGCACTCACGATAGTGCATCTCCGCGTTCCTCTCGTAAACGGAATTCGCACGCGTTTCACTCCTCTTCCCTCTCCCCCGTCAAATTTGATGATTTTACATTAGCATGAACGATCCCAGTTAACGCTAATTATTCATGAAAAGTTCGATTTGTATTCTCAATGTGCCGAATATTCCGGAACAGTAAAAGAATATTCAAATATTAATGAACTGTTCAGAATATTATATGAACACTTTTTGTATATACAAGGTGTCTCAAAAATAAGGTAGGAGCCGCATTGGGGGCGTAGAATGCGTCAAAGGGAACAAAAAAGTTTGATACCATTTTGAGATATTCGCTGTAGTTTTTTAATTAAAAAAGGAAACGTATAAGCCAATGTGCGGTGAAGCCACATCGCGCGAATTCGTAGCACGGCCCATCGCGCCGCTGTCGAGTGAGGCTGCTTTTGAGGTTTCCTTTTTTAATTCAATGTATCATTCATGGTATCAAACAATTCATGGTTGATACCACCAAACTTTTTTGTTGCCCTTGACCTATTCTACGCCTCCAATGTGACTCCTACCTTATTTCTGAGACATCCAGTATATCAAGAAAATCACTCATTCGCACTCAATCAGAAATAATAATGGAATCGATATCGATTCGACGTCGAAAGCATTAAATCGACGTCGATTCGATATCGATTTCATCATTTCTGACTGAGCAAGCAATATGCAGAGAGCTGCGACGGAGATGCATTAACTCGTAAATATGAATGACATGGAAAAAATATATAAAGCGCACTATTTCACCTATGAAGTGGAGACGACAAATAACTATGTTCTTTGTGATCGAAAACGATACGTGATTCGATCCCGCTCGTGCTCTACATATAATTTTTTTCGTATTTAAGGAATGTTTTTCAAATATACACGGATTAAGCATACGCTTCTGTTACCACCTTCTGTATAAATACACATTTTCATTGGGGCTATATGTAGTTGTATTCATTTTTAGGGGTTTTTTTGTAAGTTTTCCCCTTATTTCATCCACTGGATCATAATTTGCGTTTTCCAATTTCGTTTGCTTTTAGTATCAGGAATTAATTTCTCATGTATTGTGCAGAAATAGATTCCTAAATAGTGCAATAACTAATTTCATTGGATTTCAGTAAAAAAATATTTTCCTGTAAAATAAGTCTTCAAATTGGGTTCTAATGCGAAAATACTTGAAGTGTGTTTTTAACAATATAATTTTATTTAAAAGTTAATTCAGGGACCACCGGACCTGGAATTTCTGAAAAAATTATATTATAATTTTGTTTTATACGTATGTGGAACATTCTCTGAACATGTAACGATGTACGTATGGAATATTTAATGATTATTTGAATTTTGTTTTTACATATTCGATAAATATTTTGGAATATTCTGTAATACTCTTGGAACGTTATTTTGGGATTTTAGGAATATTTTGCGAATATTTTAGGAATATTTAGCATTAGCTGGAATCTTTGCATCATTTGTGAACCAAAATAATATTCTGTGTATAATTTAATGATTTTGGGAGTCTTTAAATTTGTACATATACGCACCCACGCATGAACACACACATACATGCACACGTATGCGTGCGCGCGCGCAAATTTATGAAACATTATTTTTTACATTATTACTTTGTATCTTTAGAAAAGAAAAAAAGAACTCCAGATGTATTGTATCTGTACACAGATTATGATATAGACTACGTTTATACGGTTCAATTTACACCGAAGTTATAATGTCAATGTTATGAAACTAGCTACTTATAGCACTATTCTTCTGAAGAATGGAATAACTGTGGTTTCATAATATCGATGTTACAACTTCGGCATAAATCGAGTCATAATTGATCTTTTTGTATTCGCCGTTAATGTTATTAAAACAAAATCTATCTTCCTTTTATTCCTTTCAGAACAAGATCAACCAATTTTTGAAGTTCGTCGCAATTAGGGTGAGTCTTTGCGTGTATAATTCGGTTTCTATTTATAATTTGATATTTTTTCATATTTCATAAAGAAATTATCGGATTTTGTTTAATGATTAAATTGATAAATTTATCGTATAAGGTAAATGTCCCAAAATGACTGGACACTTACACATAATTTATTATTATTAACCTCAAATGCTCTTTATTACACTATTATAATTTAGTTATATTTAAAAATTACAATTAAATTATAATATTATATTTAAAAAAACATTTGAGATTAATAATAATAAATTTTGTAAGTGTCCGGACATAGATACATGTCCGGTCACTGGGATATTTACGTCGTATGATAAATTTATCAATTTAATCATTAACTAACTTTTGAAGAACTTTCGAAAAAGGGATTCCTCGATGATTTTGCATATAAAAATCATTTCAGAATTTTCACACAAAATAATGGGACGTCAATTCTATTGTCATTAATCAGCTCAGAGATTTGCTGAATATCAGGGAATCTCCCAATTACTTTCGGGAGAATGTGTCACGGTTAGTAGCTGGAACCAGAATCGTCTCGTATCGAAACGCTTCTTCACGCTATCTTCGTCATGCCATCTGTCACACTGCATTAAGTTTTCTCGCCATTTGTTATTGCGCGCCTAAAGAGACTTTTAAATTTCGTGCTCACGGCGAACGGTGTATAGACATATCGACGGGTTTTTTCGCCAATTGACGAATTTATCCTATTAATCTCGTTTAGATATAATTGTTTTTTACAATACTACGTAATTAATTTCTTAAAAAAATCAAATCTTAAAACTTTTAATAAATAGCTTTAAATCATTTTTGTTGTTTCAGACATTGGAACATTTCCGATAATGAATGCTTTCTTATCATAAGCGGCGACAATAAAATTTTCTTATCGCTGCAAACTGTATTTCATCGATTGGCGAAATCACGTCGCTTTCACAATTTAAATTTGTTTATTACTTTTTTTTTATAATCGAAAAACACACCTTCGCGTATGTAAAGATAAAACGAGAATAATAACAATAAATAATTAAATATGCAGAGTATGTATTTGAATATACTCGACTCTGTGTGTGTGTGTGTGTGTGTGTGTGTGTGTGTGTGTGTGTGTATGCGTGCGTGTGTGTTGTGTGTATTTATGTGTATGTACGTGCATGCATGTATTTGCATATATATGATAAGACAAGTGAGAGTGTAAGAATAAAAAGAAAAAGAGCGAAGATATGCAAGAAAATATAAAAAAGGATCATATTAGCATTATCATATTAGCATTATTATTGATACGATTGTAAGTTCATAGAGTCATTAACACGTTGTAATATTATTATTAATAGGACGATCACGCGCGTGTGCGCAAATGCGACGTACACGTAATAATTACATACGTACAAGCGTACATATACACATACCCACACTCTGACACGCGTTAATGCTAAAAGAAATATAATAATATTAATTGATTAACATTATTGCCAATAATATATGATTGACTTGCGGTTATAGCTGATAATGTAAACGAAGAGACCCGATGATAATGATGATAACTACGATCGTTTGTATTTAATAGAATTTTTAAGTCAATGTTTTACATTCATCCCCTCGGATATCCGACAAAGACGATCACCGGCTATAACAGTCGATCGAATGCCAAAGATTCGGTACATCGAGCTCGAGAGAAACTGTAGGAGAAACGAAAACTATCGATGAATCTTTTAATTGGCGTCGTCTCGTGCCATTCTAAAAAATATAGATGTGGATTTAATACCATTCGGTGTTTATATAAACACAAAATTGTATAATATTAATATCAAATGGTGTTAAATTTATACCATTCACATCCATATTTTTTAGAGTGTATATATTTGTAAAATATTTTCTATCAATTTCAAAATTCTCGCAACAACGATTGCAACATTTATAAGTGAAAATGAATAAAAGTATTGCGTTATTCTTTCCTGAAAATTTACGATCAAATCGTGAAAGAAATATCTTTTTTTGCAAATAATAATATCTGAACGTAAGAAAAAGTAATGGAAAAAACTCTCAGCAAAAGATATTCGATGCCATGGAAAGTTTCACCGAACGCTACCGAAGAATGATATAGCTTTTTATTCTCGGAATATATTCAGCTTATTTTTTGCGGAGAATTTCGTCAGATGTATCTTCTTGCCTCTGACTTCTGATTCTCGATTACTTGTTAAATGTTAGACAAATTGACAGACGCTTGAGAAATATAATTTATACTAAACATGTTCTATTTTATTATTTCTATATTATCTCCAGAGTTTATCGAACCGTTATAAGACAGATTGACTTACGAGCGATTTCTACGAATGAAGGTCGTTCTCGGGATTTCTATTTAATATGTCATTGACAATGATGCATATTCCGTTCTTTATTTTCCATTAAGAGGTTATAGAACTTTACAAATTTTAAAAAATCAAAAAACTTTTTTCATTTTCTAATTTAAAATTATAAAAATGCAGATATATAGAGCAATAATTGCACAAAATTATTAAATTATTTAAAAAATATATAATTTTTAAAATTATTAAAAATTCTAAAATTTACACAGTTAAACGTGTTTTTTTTTAAATATTATTTTTTAAAACGATAACTCAAATATGGTTTATATCAGTACTAGGATTTACTTGCACATTTCGGGCGATTTTCAGCTTGGTTCCTGTTTCTTACTTCACCAACCCGCGCGCAGCCTAAATGCTGATCGGCATTTAAGACTGCGCATGGATTGATGAAGTAAAAGATGGAAATCAAGTTGAAAATCGGCCGAAATGTGTAAGTAAATCCCAGTACTGATTTATATTATCGATTTGAAGTTTTAAAGTAACAGTTTTAGTAATATTCGGTTCTCCCCCCCCCCCCTTCACAGAAGCTTAAATTTCTTTCTACTTTTAACTTTTTTCTTACATTATGACAGAAGAAAAAGAATGAGATTTTTCAAAAAAACCACAATTCTTACATTTAGATGTGTCCTAGCTTCGCAAAAAATAAAATTTTTTTAATTTCTCCCAAAAATGACAAGTGTGAAGCTAAAAAAATGCTTAAACTTTTTTTTATCTCATGGAGCTAACATCTTGGTCACCATGCAGACGCTCGCGGGATAACTATTTAGGACGCCATTATTATTTATTATTTCCATTTTTTTGTTGTAATTTTACATCTTAATTTTGTTATTTAAAATATATTTTCCCAACAAAAAACACTATTTATATCTATCTCTGTAAATAAAAATTTTGTATGGTGTTGAAAAGTATCTTATTTTTTGATTCACTACATTCACTACATACCACAGATTTCTATAACCATATTCCAATATAATCTATATATGTTCCAAAATTGACTGCCTGTCTGAAAATCTATAATTTATGCACCGTTATAACTGTATAATGCACGTGACAAACTGACGATCAAATCGTGCATTTTCAGCGCTGACAGTAAATTTGGAACAGTCATATATGTACTGCTGGAACTGAAAATCTATAGTTCACGTTATGTATACTGTAGATTTTCAGTACTGAGCCTCTATTCTTGAAAAGAAGCGTAAAACTACTAAGGAAATACTGTAATATACGTTTCGTATACTATACAGGGTTGGCCATATTCGACGGAAAGATCTGGCAACACTGTACTAACTTTTGACAGAGATGTTAGATCGAGTAACGACGTTTCCCATGATTGAAAAAAAAAACATCTTTCCGTCGAATATGGCCCTGTAATATAGTATTTACCTATAATTATTCGTATATGTTTCTTTACAAGAATAGGAGCCCTGACAGTATATATCGGATACGGCTTGTATAGCATAGACTTTTATGGCCGGTATTCATAAGCCATATAATTATGTAATTATATAATGTTTCAATACACACTGCTAGTACTCCAAAATGTACAGTATACGTTAACGTAATAAACTGTAGATTTTTAGTATTGGCAGCGTATCTCGAAACACGATCACTAGTCAGTTCTTATATACCG